AATAACTTAATTTGGTATTATTTAATCAATTAAAAAAATAAAAACGGAATGAATATTATTGATTTAGTTGATGAAGTATAATCTTATCAATCATTTCAAAAGGTAAATCATTGTGATTATGAAATCTATCAAATTGCATTTGAATATGATTGAAATAAAGTGTATAATTTAATTGATACAATTATCAAATCATCTGTTCCATTTCATTTCAATGAGTAATGAACAAGAAGAAAAATGGAGAGTAAATAACTAATCATATGAAAAACATTATGAAATAATAGATTCAAATATTACTCTTTTATTAATTAAATCATCGTTTAAACAATATTTTATTATCATAATGTATAATCAGAAAGATATGAAATAATTGTGGAATTAAAATCTGCAACAAGAATAATTAATGAAGATAAATAATATATTAACGTCTCATATTTTCATCAATTAAAACAACATGAACAACAAAATGACTTAATTTACATTCACAAAATAGAATAAATTAAACTGTATTTGATTAATAAATAATTTATAAAACATAAAATCAAATGAACATAAAACTAATTTAGAAAAAATAAAAAATAAGAAATAATAGAAAAAGTAGAGTTTATAGGTTACAAGGTTTATAATAAACAAGTCATTATTTTAGCATGAATACTCTTTATATTTATTAGATTAGTTCTAACCTGCCTCATTCTAATTTCTCTACTGTGGGTTATAATAGAGTATTTAATATAAACACATTATTAATAAAAAAAAAATGATAAATATGCTTCTTTTTTATTGTAAGATATTTTTGTAAAATACTTTACTATTTTATTTCATGTATTGTTTGTTGTTAAAAATTGTTTCGATTATTTAAGATTTTTTTTTGTGAGGTTAATAAAAATTAAAAAAAAATAGAAAAATATAATAAGTGGATAAATAACTGTTAATTGAACCGTTCTCGATTGTTCGTTGGTCAGGGTAGATTAATTCAACAACACCCTCGAAAACAATAAAGGTATTTTAAAAACATTTTAAGTTCATATAAATAAAAGGAAGAACTAATAAACTTCGATAAGTAGTAAATCAAGAATGAAATTAGGATACAACGAAATAATGATAACGTCAATGTTTTTCGATGATATTAAAGATTTTATTAATTTAGAAATTGGAGTTAAAAGATTTCAAGGAAATATGGAACGATTTCATTTTAATCCAATTCCATTAAATGAATATTCAAGAAAATTATTTCCTAATATTGAAACATTTCATATTTATAATTATAGTGATAAAATATTTAATGATGGAAGAATATTTAAAAAAGTAATATGGTATTTAGTAGATTATTCAACTTATTTAAAAGAGAAAAGAAATGGGAGTGATTGCAAAAATATAACATATACAAAATATGATCGAAATATATATGGAAATATAATACCACCAGAAGTTACATCACTTGGATATGAATGTTTTGCTAGAATGTATGGGTTGTTAACAATTATTATACCAACGATGATTAAAAGAATAGAAGATAATTGTTTTGAAGAATGTAAATCATTAAAATCAGTCATAATTCAGTCAACACTTTATGAATTAGGAAGTGAGTGTTTTTATGGATGCACAGGATTAACAAGTATGGGGATAGAGAAACTCCAATTTATTAGTAAAGAAAGAATATTTATGAATGAACCAGTGTTAATCAGCATTAAAATACCAGATAATCTGGAAATAGTCAATGGAAAAAGAATTAAAAAGAAAGATATTAATGAATTTATTATTCCATCTTCAATTACTAAATTAGGGAATAGATGTTTTATTTTATGCACAACATTAACATCAATTAATATACCAACACCAATTAAAGAAATAGGAGATGGGTGTTTTTTAAATTGTGTATCACTGATATCAATTAATCTTCAAACGTTAATCACTGAAATTCCAGATAATTGTTTTAATGGTTGTATTTCACTAAGTCAGATTAATATCCCAACATCAATTAATAAAATAGGATTTGGATGTTTTGAGAAATGCTATTCATTAACATTAATAGATATCCCGTCATTAGTTACTTCATTTAACTGGGGATGTTTTAGTGATTGTGGATGTGAAAATGAATTAAAGAATAATGAAAGAATACCAAAAAAGTGTTTTGATACTTGGTAAAAATGAAGTAAAACCAATAACACATGAAATACATTATATATTTTTGGGGGACTCTTCAATTGTTTAATAAAAAAATTATTGTAAAATTAGACCAGTAAAAAAAATTGTTAAATTGTTAATGTGCTTTGTATATATTTATGAAATGTATTAGATTTATATATTTATAATCAAATAGAACAAATCATTTATTTTTATTATGTTAATTTAAAATAATTTAATATTAAATATTATTTTTATTTATATTATTAGGAAATTGTTCATTTAATTTATTTTTATTTATGTAAATTGATGTTATGATGATTTGATGGTTATTTATTATTAGTTATTTTACATATATTCAAATTTTATTATTATCATTTATTTATTATATTTATTATGAATGAAATGATTATACTTATTATTTATTATTCAGTTATTATAATCATTTATTCTTGGTTTAAGTATTATATGAATTTATATTATTTTGTTATGAAATTTATATTTATAATCAATAATTTCATTTAATGATTTGTTGTTCTTATTCTATCATTTTTAATTTTAAATCATTTAATTATCATATTTTGAAATTGATATATCTTTATTTAATTTAAGGTGAATTATCATGTTTTTTTCTATATTTCAATTTGATATTCTTGTTACTATATTATTTTTTCTTGTGCAGTTATTGTAGAATTTAATATTACATATGTTACAATGATGAAATATTCATTCCTATTCAATTTTAATGAATATTTAATTGAAGATAATTAACGAAGAATAAATATAATTATAGTAATTTATCATTATTCTCTTCTTCATCAGATTTATATTATTATTATAAAATGACTATAATAATAAATAATATGGTATAGAATTATATATTAATGTTTATCCAGTTATCTTGAATGAATAATATGTATTTTTAATAGTTAAATATTTACAATATCTTCATCATTTCTATTTATTTAATTACAATATTACAAATATCTATTTATATAAGAATAATTATTTAATTTTAATTCATTTTATGGGTATTCGAATTATTTCATTTTCATTTATTATGATAATTCAAATGATATAATACTTTCTTATT